ATGACCAAAGCAGTTGGACGGTGCTGTGTGTTTCTGTTTAAGCTATAACAGGGAAGCATTTTCATTTTAGTGGCATGAGAAAGACTCACGCCACAATGGTTCAACGCGACCGCATGATCTCTCGCAATTCGGGATCAATGATCTCAAACAATGCAGTAAAAAAAGTTATATTTTAACACGGAATCAGAAACATGTGCTCATGGGTACTCATGGTCAGATCTGAGAGAAGTGCTGACAGTTCTAGACAGCCTAGAGCTGTTGTACAGCCCAGAATAACTCCAAACCAAACTCACAGTGCTATTTCTCGATAGAAAACCCCTCCTTTGTAGGCCACGTCTGGCAGGAAGTCAATAGCATGTATTAAACTACCTATAATGCTCCCCAGTTATCGATAGCCCTAAATGAGTGCATATGGTGTCTTGGCATTGGATTCTTTTGATCAGGTTGAGATTTTAATGGATTTTTTTTGTCACTTCTGACTGACAAGTCTGCGGATTGTATCCCGGCTCAAGTAGACTAAAGGCAGCCAAAGGGTCATCTGAACCTTGTGGTTTGGGCGCAGAGTGCTTAGATACAGAGAGTGAACACTGCGTTGGCAACCGTCGGACACTGGGAGAGTCAGGAAGTCTGGCCACTGTAACCCCCCCCCCCCCCCTTAAACACACACACACTCTCAGAGACACTCAGACGCACATGCATGCACGCACACACACACACGCACATACACACAATTTGCACATAGCCGCTCACACACCGCCTCACCCCAAATGTGCATGCGCACACACAGACACCACACACTCCATAAGAGAGCTTTATTTCATCAATAGGGATCATATTACTATTTTTGTGCCCAACACCTGAACTTTTTCTGAGAATACACGTGATGTGTCAATCTGTCATTGATTGATAACATTTATAATATGTATCCTGATTCATTAACCAAGAGACTAAAAAGCAGTCTACTGTACTTTTTTCTGTTAAATTATATTGATTATATTCCAGATTAAATTACAATATATTTCTGTAATCCACATGTAAAAACAATCGTCCATTGTAGCACAGCTAATTTGAGTGGAACTAATCTGAGTACAATACTACTAGTCAGAGTTTTCTAGTACTTTTCTGAGTTGGATTAGTAGAATTAAACCATCACCTGCTGCCTGTGGGGTAAAGAGAGAGTAAAATCCAATCAACCAGATTGGCTCCAACTGGATCAAGGAGATATATTAAATGATTGACATGGGATTCTGTTTGGATGAGAGACTTAATGTGGATGTGTCTCGGGCTGGATAGAGGACCTCTGATGGACTATTGAGCCTTACGTATTTACAAAGGGACAGTTAACCTCTACGAGATCAGTGTCCCGAATACGGAACGGTTGAGCTAACGTGCGCTAATGTGATTAGCATGACTGTTGTAAGTAACAGCAAACGTTCCAGGACATAGACATGTCTTATATGGGCAGAAAGTTTAAATTCTTGTTAATCTAACTGCACTGTCCAATTTACAGTAGCTATTACAGTGAAACAAGACCATGCTATTGTTTGTGGAGAGTGCACAACAACAACAACAACAACAACAACAACAAAAACTTATCACGGCAACTGGTTTGATACATTCACCTCTGAAGGTAAATAACGTACTTACATTCAGTAATCTTGCTCTGATTTGTCATCCTAAGGGTCCCAGAGATAAAATGTAGCATATTTTTGTTTGATCAAATCAATTTTTATATTTGAATGTAGGAACTGGGTTCTACAGTTTGAACCCCTGCTGTCTCTGGCTCCACACCCATCCTGCCCGGTCATCTAGATGTGTGAAAGTTAGTGTATAAGCTAATGATCAATCATGTATGACATTCCTGGGAGTGTGTAAATTTACATTTTGTATTACCATATCATTTCTGTATGTTCTCTATAGTTATGTACTTGAAAATGTATCAATTGACCAATTTGGCACATTTGGGCAGACTTGTCCAGTATAGTCCAGTATTGCAATGCTTCACTGGATCAATCTGAAACTTTGCACACACTGCTGCCTTACAGTGGCCAAAATCTAAATTGCGCCTAAACTGCAATATTATATTGTGGCCTTTCTCTGGCTTTTCAAAGATGAAAAATAAATAAATTTGAAAATGCATGTTGTTTTTTTTTAATTATCTTTTACCAGATATAATGTGTTATATTCTCCTACATTAATTTCACATTTCCACAAACTTCAAAGTGTTTCCTTTCAAATGGTATCAAGGATATGCATATCCTTGCCTCAGGTCCTGAGCTACAGGCAGTTAGATTTGGGTATGTCATTTTAGGCGAAATTTTAAAAAAAGGGTCCGATCCTTAAGAGGTATATATATATATATATATATATAGATAGATAGATAGATAGATAGATAGATAGATAGATAGATAGATAGATAGATAGATAGATAGATAGATAGATAGATAGATAGATAGATAGATAGATAGATAGATAGATAGATAGATAGATAGATAGATAGATAGATAGATAGATAGATAGATAGATAGATAGATAGATAGGAGTAAGAGAGAAATATATATATATATTATATACATATATATGTATATATAATTTGACCCGTACAATGATAACGCTTTCCAATTTCAAGAGTTGCACATTTTTTATTATTTACTAATTAGTATTTACTTATTTGCTTATTATTTATACATATTTGCCAACTGCTTATAGATTGTTTATAACACTGTGAAAGTGGTATATTTAAATATAGTTAATTCTGTAGTGTTAGTGTTAGTATTTAATTTATAAATGTCACTCATGTCACCCTCAAAACGCTGTATATTTTTTGTTGTTGCAGATATCGCCATTGTTCTCGGTCATAGGTCTGCACACACAACCTTCATGCATAGTACTCCTTTACTATTAAAAGGCACCAACGAGTACTGGAGGTTCACCATGTGTATCCCACTGATAATCCCACTGTTCATGAATGCAAGATTGGACAAATTCTACTACATGTCTGTTCCATCTGTACACAATGGTAATAAACAACTTTGTCAAGGTTTTATTTTCATTTCACTTCCCATTTCACTTGTTATTTCTTCACGTTTTAAAAGGGCCAAAGTGCTGTTGGATTTCATATGTCCAGTGCACAGTCTTTAACAAGGGACGAGAGGCCGGAATTTAGTCGAGAAACCAACTGATTTGAGTGCAGACTAAGTGGTTGAGTGAACAGGTTAACAGTGACAGGCCTTTGAGCAGCTGTGACAGGGAGAAAGCAGCGCGAGGCTCTGCCACTGAAGGGGTAAGTGACCCGGAAACACTGTGGAAGTGCAGCCAGCGTGGCCCTTTAGGAAAAATCTCTCCACAAGCCGCTATTGCCCTTCTCTATGCAAATACCCATGATGCACCATATCTCTGCTTCATTGTTTTCTTTTTCTCTTGCAAGCACATAATACATACATACATGCACCATTACACACACACACACACACACACACAAATGCAAACACACACACACGCAAGCAGAACATATTTAACATAGATCATCATAAAAGCGCCAACACACACACATAGAATAAACAGCAAATACACAAGGTTACACATGAATTAAGCATCAATGATGTCCTACATTGTGACAAGCAACCCCTGCATGGTTTTTGGGTAGTGCACAGAACTGAACGTCTGTCACTTGTCTTACCATTCAAGTCCTACTTGCTTATAGTAGTACTTATATATAAGCATTTAGCCCCATTCAATTGAGGCTAAACCCTATTTACATGGTAATTACATTGCAAGTAAAGTGCAACTACAATGTAGATACATTGTTACTCTTACAACTGTTACTGAAGATAACTGTATAACCTTAATGGTTGAGGAAAGGTGAACATAATTAATTCCAGTTTGCTAGAAAATGTAATAAAGATTTACATGTGTACCTGCACAAACTGCAGACAGGCATCACATATTTAACTTCAGATAAAGTGTTACTAAATGATCACTTGGGGAGGACAAAAACATAAAACAATAACATTAATACTTATTGAAGCTTGCCATATGAATGTTGAATATCTGAAGTAATATACTGTATAACATTATTCTCTATAGTCCAAATGTAATTCAACAAGCTCAGAAATTGCAAACGTTACAACGTTTTTATTGCATATTATCATTTTCATTATATAAATCAACAGCTTTACAATCTGTCATTTGAAATGCTTTTAGATAATGACATGAAATCGTTATATTTCAAATGAACATGGAACTGCAAAGGTAAGGCCATATAAATTAAACGCTAATAAGACTTCACAGAGAGAAAGATATGTCAACAATTCAAGACAGAGTATAACTATAATAGTTAGAAAATCTTATATGGAACTATAGGAAGCAAGTAACAACTAATGGTGGGATAATAAAGTTGGCCTAATAAAGTGAAGCAATAGTTCAAACATCAAATTCCAAGCACAACATAAACATACATTCATTCAAATGTCATTACTGTACAAAATAAAATGGATCAAAGTCCAATAATTCATGCATAGATCCTACTTTGGTATGGTGTGTATTCATAGACGAAATAGCTGTGTGAGGAATAGAAATAACAATAATAATGATATAAAATAATCATATAAAATAATAATAACGTGTAGACTATATTGACAATATAGGCTCCCCTTGGGCCCAATTATTTATTTGAACTCAAAACCATATCACTTTGTATTAACTAAATGTTTTACAATTGTGAAGGACTAAAAGTGGCACATGCACGTCGTGCATTGGTCAAGGACGCAAATGTCACGAGAGAGACACCATAAACTGAATAGGCCTATTAATATGTGTGAACACTGAAGAAAGTTGGCATATTCAATTATGCTTAATTTGTATTAACATCCTTGAAAATGAAATCAAAATAATAAAAACTTTACTAACACTTGTCAGTTGGCGCCCTAATTCCAAACGTTTTTGACTGGTATGGACGTCGACTGGGTAGCGCTTTCCAGAGTTGGCTACATCCCTAAAAGTCAACCGTCTGCATCGAACAGGCTAAAATATTTACCAGCGTTTGAGAAATAAATGTAAGGCGCGCTGTTTCCTGGATACATAACAGGGAAAGGCATTGGTATTAAACATCCGCCCAATATGTTGCTATCTTTGTAAATAGTTGGTAATTGCGAATTTTTCCCGGAATCTGAAAAGTGGTCGACTGGAACTGGTCCTTCGATGTCGGTGGATAGCTGTCGCTTCAATTTATTCCGGCGATTCTGGAACCAAATTTTCACTTGAGTCTCGGTAAGTTGTAAGGAATTCGCCAGACATGCCCGTTCTACACTGCTCAGGTATCTTTTCATGTCAAAGGTAGATTCCAGCTGAAAAATCTGCCTCTTGGAGAATATAGTGCGTGTTTTCTTCTTTGCCATTGCTTTGGTTTTCGAGTTTCCTTTATGTTGCTCAGATACATCTTCGCAGCTGTTCGAACTCTCTGTCCTTGGACAAGTGTCAATCATCTTCGTCGCGTCGACATCCTCCCCACAGACTGAAAGCGCACAAGCTGCATCGTGGTGGGCACTGTTTGTTTGCGCTGTGAAATGAAGCGATAAAACTTGGTTTTGATGCAATGCTGACACCAACTCGTATTTCATCTGCGAAACCCACTAGATCACAGTAAGTGGAATATAAAAAATTACATAACCCAGACTTTGAAGTAGCCTGGGCTAGATAGTATTTTAATTGCTCAGCTGTTATTGTTTACCATAAATGAACAAATGCAAAACATTAAAGGGCTAGTTAAAGACAAGCAAATATGGGCTCACCTGTTTCGTGTGTTGTGTAGTCTGACTCATCATGCCTTCTTTGAACTTCGTAGCCCTCATATCGGGGCGTAAAATTATGTTTACACCTTGCGTCGCTCTGCACTTTTGAATCATATGCGTCTAAATTGCTCTTGTTGTTTTGCTTCAGATTTAGAATATTGTCTATAGTGAATTTCAATGAAGCAGTCCGACAGGGAATAGCCTCCTTGTTCATATTCCCCGACATTTACAGTTTTCCTTCTGTTCTGAATGGTGAATTGAGTTCCCCAAAACTTCGAAGCCTACAGATACTCGAAGCACCATTGCTCCTCGATTGCAACTATACCAGGGCGTAGGGTACCGTTATTCAATGAACCAGAAGACTGTGGTTTAGCAGCTTTTGATTGGTGAGGTTGCGAGGCAGCGTGACGCCAAATATCAGATGATGGCGGGAAGCATCTTTAGGCAAGACTAGAGTTAGCCTCCTGGATTGTTTCCTGGTGTTTCCGGGGAATATTCACGATACAGTTAAATAGTGCCCAAACGATTTTTTGGATGTTTACCAATGCTTTTCAGAATTACATGAAGAGTTGGCATATAGGTTAGCTAAAATATATATTCTAGGCCTATATGTATGTACAATATTTGTTTTGTATTGTTAGGTATTACTGCACTGTTGGAGCTAGAAACAAAGCATTTCAGTGCACCTGCGATAACATCTGCAAAATATGTGTAAGCAACCAATAGAATGTGATTTGATTTGAAGTGGTCACATCCATACAATTGAGACTGTTATTAACCAGTTAGGTATGTAGACCTACACTTGATCACTTTTGCTCCCATTAATCATATGAATTGAAACGTTAATGTGTTATGGGGGCACTGATATTATCTCTCCAACAGATTCATCATAATTACATCTTGTAGTTTTATTTTATTTTGAGTATACACATTAGAAAGCTTTAGGGAGATTGAGGTTTTAGAAATGTATTAGGTTAATTAATAATGTTAGGATATGAGGCCTATATTCTAAATGTTTTATTCACATGTCCTAATTTGACCAAATCAGTTTCCATTATGTCTAATGTGGTTCATTTCAACTATTTCATTTAATGAATCATTTTACACAACTTTATTTACAATTTCAGTCTGATGATAAGTACCCTATAGGCCTACATTCAATTCGAAGTGTTAAAAAACAGTGAAACGTTCTGTTACCTGTGCCCCTATAACCTACTGAACCTAAAAAAAAATCACTGATAAACTATAAGAAGAAAGGTATTTTAAGTCATCACTTTAGAAATCTGTGTTTACTCAACATTGGTGTGGAATTTCTCAAATTAGGCCTAAATGCAGGGGCATGTTTATGTATTATGAAAGGGAAAAATGCGTGTTGCTGTGGTTGTATTAGGTTGTCAGTGTATTTTCAATGGCCATAGGCCTAGCCACTGGTCAGACAGAACCTTACTGAGACAAATTATCAACATAAGATACCTTCGTGCTAATTATGAGAATACAAAGCAGGCCTTCTCGGCAACACAATAAACATGAAACATGGTGTGCACTTCATCTATTTTATTTACATTGATCGGACAACTCTTGTGTACAAAATGTCAAATGAAACCCAGTTTAAATAAGAAATATGAAATAATACAGTTCCCCGTAACCCCATGCTCATAACTTGCATATTAAAAGAAAGTAGTTGAGGCTATAAACTACACAGCTTGCTCAATGAGTGTCATCCCCTTATGAATGTGGCTGTGATCTTGGTGATTTGCAATAAAGTCACCCTCAGCAATAAACTCTTGAAGGGATTATCTCTACTGTGTCCAATACTCAAATTGTTAGTTTAATATAATACACCAATAATGTGTGCCTCACACAAGGCCTGTCATTTGTGATCTTATAAAAGACATGGGGTGGGTGAACTGGGAGAGGGGAAAATTCACAGTACTCGAGAAACCCACTAAGGGTGGCGACACCTGTGCCAGGTTTGCGTTCAGTGTCCCAGGTGAAGTGTTCTCGTGGTATAGAATAGGAACCCTGACAATCCTTTGGGCCGAATAGGAGACGCTCGTGGACGCCATGTCGGCAGCTAGCTGTCTCTTCCACTTGTTCCTGCGGTTCTGGAACCAAATCTTGACCTGCGTCTCGGTAAGTTGTAGAGAAGCGGCCAGCCCCGCCCGCTCGGTGCTGCTCAGGTAGCGTTTCATGTCGAAGGTGGACTCCAGCTGGAACACCTGTCTCCGGCTGAACACGGTGCGGGTCTTCTTCTTGCGAGCTGCTTTCGTATCAGGTGTGTCACTGTCGTCTCGCGCGAAGCAGGATGGCCCTGTTTCGTCATCCTTGTCATCTGTCAGACTGCCCTCTGCCCTCTCGTTGCGTTCGTCGTGGTCTTCCACCGGCTCCGGTACAGCAGGGGAATCCCGGTCGCTGGTTGGTAGGGAGTATCCGGGGTCATCTGAGTTGCTGGAGTGGCATTGCGGACCTGAAATAAACGAGGAGTATCATGAGGAGTGCCATTGGTAAACTGTTTCTGCTACATTTTACGCACCGGCCAATAGGGATCAATAAGTGCATGATCATCTCTCAATCATGATATCAACCCTCATTGCAGGAGTGACACTTGATTGCAGTTTTCGATGGTAGTCGATTTTTTAAGTGCTGCGGGCAGGCCACATATCGACTTGAGAAACTATGACCTCAAGCTTGTAATGAAACTTGTAATTAAACACAGTAGCCTTGCAAATGTATAATAAGCACCATAATTCTGGTTTATAAGCTCCATTTCCAATCAGTGTTATGTTTGAAATGTATTGAAGTGGCGTGCCATACCCCGTGTAAAGAGGACCCCGTGTAAAGAGGAACCGCATGGAGATATTTTACGCACCGGGTAAGAGCGAATACACTAATGTTATTATGGTTTGTTGCACAATATATGGGCTATGCATGACAAAAAAATGCAATGCAATGTTGTCTGTTTTTACTGCCATGCCACCATTTATTGTGTATTGACACTGAAAATGGCTAACATTACGCACAGCAACCTCCAAGCATTGTCGAGCACAGCTCTTTCACGTTGTTTTATCCTCATTATCTGAGGAAATGCGTAAACTATCCTCACATGCTCGTTGTTGAGCGGATCTCAAGCTAGTAAGCAAGCTACAGTTTGGTGTGGTTATAGGCTATGTCGCTTTCATACAGACATAAACATAAGGGCCAATTAACAAAAGTGACACTTACTTTGTAAATCGCTGCAAGCTTTATTGGGCGATGTCCCACACCAGTCCGAAATGCAACCGGCTTCAGCAAGGCGTTGGGCGTTTAACCCAAAGTAAGACACTTGACGCTCCACTTGGCCCCAGCGGCTCTCAATGACAGCGACTTGGTTGAAAGACAGTCCTATTTCTTTACAACCCCCATCATCTTCGGTCGTAGACCGCCTGTCTGTAGTCCTGGTAGTAGAGCGAAGTAAATTCTCAATTGAAAATGATGAGCTTCTTGACGTTGGACCGTGACGTTGAGACTCCGATTCCTTATCAAGCATATTTCGTCGTTTTCAAACCACCTAGTCACCGATAAATAAATTACTTTTAAATACGTACGTGCTGTTTAGACATTACTGGGTGTCGGTTTAGCTTTTTTTCAGCTATACCTACTATGTCTATCGAAGTCTGCCGAGCTATCCATGAGAGCTCGAGCCAGAGTGTGAGACGGTGAGAGAATCCGTAGATAAACTACTGTAAATTCAACAGCGCGAGATCCACGCGTAGCAAAGAAATTGCGTCTTGCGATTGGACAGTGGAGGAAGCGAGCAAGATTACTATAGAAAATAAGAGAATTACTCGCATTGAGCTACAACCACTGTGTGATAGTCTGCCTTGAGGGGTTGGAGGGACCCTGTCTCTCAGATACTTTATTTAGGTCAATTAGGGAGCAAATCAAAGCAGAGATACGGCGGTGTCCCCGGGCTGGGATGCATAGTAGAAGAAGAGACCGCTTCTTGGAGAATGACACAGTACCTCCTATTGGCTACTTCTGTCTATGCAAGCTCTAGATTTATTGTGCCATTCATATTTGCCTGCGTGCATTCGTTCTCGTGCAATAATTATTCAATTGATAGGAAGGTGGACACGTGCAATTCATTGAATAGCAATAGATTATCAACAGCATTTCACAGTCAATTCAGTTTAGCGAAGCATTTTTTAACCCCATTATCTAAAAGGGAATAGAAAGTCCAGGTATAGGATTTCGATATTGCAGGAATTAATTTAGCATTATTTGTCACTATGGCCAATGATATCCTGGCATTATTTAGCAGGAAATGTAAGCTATTGTTCTGGGACTAGTTTTCCTCTATTTGAACAGGCTTATTATGTTGTAATTGTTTAGTCAACATGTTTTCGTTTTTTCTTTGGCCTACTTTTATAAGTTAGGCCTACTTTAGTGTCCAATATGCGTCCCAAGATATCTCAGTCAAATAATGATATCGTATTTATTGTAGGGCTACCAACTTTCAAGTTGTTTAGCCAAACTAATAGTAAATAATTGTATAACAGGGTAGCCTACATTCAAGTGGTTTCCTGTATAGTCGTATTTTAGTATAATAAACTAACATAAATAATGCAAACCCGCGTGTGAAATATCATGTTTTATTGGGCCTGAAGTTCTAATAAGTTGTGTATTGTATAGCGTGTTTATTGTTTATTGTATTAATATGTGTAAAACATGTTTTCTTGAATAGTCTTTATGAAAGCAATGAAATTCAGTTTAGGAGCATTGTGTATATTATTATTATCATTAAAAAATGCATAAACTCTGCTATTGCTTCTAACTTTTTATTTTATTTACAATTCCACATTATGTTCTGAACTTGGCCAGTAAAACATCAAACAATATCCCAAACAATTTCCCAAGTGTCTTCAACACAATTTAGTAAAACTAAGCCACCATTGATATTCGAAATGTTTATTGAATGTTATAATGTTATAGGGTTCATTACCGACCTTTAATGAAGTGCATTACTAATCAATATTTTGTTTTAATCGTTTCATGATAAATGTTAGGTTAAGATCACATTTGCCTCGTACAATATGGGGCGTTATCATATGGTCAGATATGTGTTTTTTATTTATTTATAATTAAGCAATAAGGCACGAGGGTGTGTGGTAAATGGCCAATATACCATGGCTAAAGGCTGATAACCAATAACCAATCAGAATTTTAAACCTCCATTTACATTACTAGATTCAATATTTTCCCAATTTGTTATTATAGATTGACTTCATAAGCATTTCAACTTTATTGTGTATTTTCTTACCAAGTCTCAGTAAAGTTTTTAATTGAATTTAGGATTGTTGATGGACCACCAAGTTCTGTCCACCTAATTCTGAAAATGGAATCTCTTTTATTTCCTGTGCTTTGTAGGATTAACGTATTTTAGGTTAGTTGACAAAAAATATTTTTGTTTTTAAGTGTGATATGATCTGTGATAACCCTACAGGCATCACGCATCATCCATTTTTCATAATTGTCTCATGATAAACTTATGATGTGTCTAATTGTTCAATTCACCCATGCTGGACTTGAGAACATATGACTCATCCCTAAGAGGGGCTCTTATGGCCTATATCATATTTCAGGGTCTGCAGCTCTTTGTATGACGTCTTGTGTTGGTCATTCTGAAGAGACTGTGTGAGAATCTGTGACTAGGGCGGCATGACAATACCTCAACTACTGTATAACCTTATACAGTGTCTTCACAGAGTGACCCCCCATCGAAAAATACTACTGAGAGAAAAACACAGGTGAAACATACATTGGCACTTTACATTAAAGTAACTGTCCAGTGAAAATCTCACTTTTAAAAGTTAATATTCTGTTAACTCATACCGAAAAGATGTTGTTGACTCGTCCTATACTCGTATTTGTGGTCAAAGCATAAATTGGTCAAAAAACACTTAAAAAACCCCACCTCAAACTTGTATCTCAAACAAACCATTAAAAAAAATACTATTGCTATTTCCTAATAGAACATGATGTCACGTTGACTCATTGGCTGAGCTGGCCAATCAGCGGTCTACTCTCATAAATATTTTTTATGACCGGTATACACCATTCTGTTGTTGGGGTACGCCCACACCATTCCAAAACAGAAAAGCTGCTTTTTAACTTCATTAAAAACTTTTTTTGGAAGGAAAACTATTTAACTCATATTGTAATTAATTATAAATCATATTTAATAGAAATCTGGAAACACTGGACAGTTACTTTAAGTGGGTCTAAAACCTAGTAGGAAGGAATGTAGGCTCTCTTTTCTACTTAGAACAGTGATGTTCATTTGCAGTTTGTGTAATATCACATTGTACAATTTATATGCATTAGGTTTGTAGTCTAATTATTGTGGTTAAATCTAACCTCACTCTATAATAATAACTATTTGTAGAGCGCTTTTCAATACAGCTAACAAAGTGCTTCACTTGATAAAGAAAAGGATAGCCACACACTCTAGGAGCTCAGATGCAATAATTTAATATCAACGTTTCGACAGCCAATACATTTTTTAAAATATATATATTTTTAAAGTACTTACAAATAAACAAAGACAAGAGTAAGGAGGATTCATTCAAATCATACATTAAAAGCATCTTTATAAAAGTGTGTCTTCAGCAGGGATTTAAAAAGAGCCACTGAATCTTCAAGCCTGATCTCCTCTGGCAGACTATGGCCTAATGGCAAATGCCCGGTCTCCTTTCGTTTTCAACCTAGACATTGGAATGGTCAACAGTGCCCTGCCAGAGGATCTCAGGCTGCGTCCTGGCTCGTAGGGAGATGAAATATCAGAGATATAGAATGGGGCTAAACCAAACCTTAAACATGATCAATACTATTTTAAAATCTATTCTAAAAGTGACTGGTAGCCAGTGTAGAGAAGCTAAAATAGGTTTTATATGGTTACATTTTATGATGCCTGTTAAAAGCTGAGCTGCAGCATTTTTAACTAACTGTAGATGATGGAGTGATTTCTGACTGAGACAGGTATACAAAGAGTTACAGTAATCTAGGCGTGAGGAAATAAAAGCATGTATAACTTTCTCCAGCTCAGTGACTGAAATAAAATTATTGACTTTAGCTATATTTCTTAGCTGATAAAGGCAGGTCTGGACAACCTTCTTTACATGCAGCTCGAGGTTTGGGTCAGGGTCAAAGAAGACACCAAGGTTTCTGGCCGTAGGCTTTACATTTTTTTACATTTTAGTAATTTAGCAGACGCTCTTATCCAGAGCGACATACAGTTAGTGAGTGCATACATTATTTTATTTTTCATACTGGCCCCCCGTGGGAATTGAACCCAAAACCCTGGCGTTGCAAACGCCATGCTCTACCAACTGAGCTACATCCCTGCCGGCCATTCCCTCCCCTACCCTGGACGACGCAGGGCCAATTATGCGCCGCCCCATGGGTCTCCCGGTCGCGGCCGGCTACGACCTTTACATTTGTGGACAAATGACCAAGGTTATCTACAATCTGGGTTCTAGCAAGGTGGGGGCCAAATAAAACAACCTCTGATTTCTTATCATTGAGCTGGAGAAAATTGTCATACATCCAACATTTGATGTCAGCAAGACACCTTTGAAGGGTAGCTATGCTAGCTTGGTCACTGGGTCTGATTAGTAAATAAAGCTGTGTGTCATCCGTATAGCAATGAAACTGAATGTTATGATTGTGGATGATGTCACCAAAGCAAAGAATGCACAGGGAAAAAAGGATAGGGCCCAGAATTGACCCTCTAGAAATATTGCTTTTTTTATTACAGTTGACATATCCTTGAAATTGTGCAAGACACAAATTATAAAGTTGTACTCGGCTATGCAGTGTGTACCCACATTGTAATTACATTGTATGCACAAATTACAGTATTTGTTTTCAAGAAATTCCAAATCATGAGAGCATTCAAAATATCGAACACAAAAAAACACAAACCTAACAATGCAAGTAATAGAGAAACGTTGAATCCTTACAAGAACACGACAGGACAGGACAGGACATCCAGCCTTCCAAGAGATTTACACAGTTTTTTCCTTCTAGACTCCTGGATATGACCATGGCAGGGTCGACCAAACTGGGGACCGCGGGTCAAACTTGGTCTTCGACAACGCTTGGTTTGGCCTGCCAGGACCACTAAGGAGGCTTTTTTTTTAGGAAGTCAGTCGGGCTCCCAACTTATTGTTGAGAGTTAGTATAGTAGAATACAAATCAAATCAAATCAAAATGTATTCATCACATGCTTCGTAAACAACAGGTATAGACTAACAGTGAAATCTTACTTAAGGCCCTTCCCAACAATGCAGAGAGAAACAAAATTATATAATAATAGAAAAGTAAAACAGATAATAATAAAAGTAATAATAAATACACAATGAGTAACGATAACTTGGCTATGTACACAGGGTACCAATACCGAGTTGATGTGCAGGGGTACGAAGTAATTGTCTGTGATGAGTAAAAAAAGTTAGTGCAAAAAGGGTCAATGCGTATTTGGTATTTTATTGGGTATTTTATTAGGATCCCCATTAGCTGTTGTAAAAGCAGCAACTACTCTTCCTGGGGTCCACACAAAACATGAAACATGACATAATACAGCTTTATCTGTTTTTTGAAGCCAGTTGTGTTGTTCATTTGAGCAAAATGAGATGGAAGGGAATTCCATGCAGTAATGACTCTATATAATGCTGTACGCTTTATTTGGGGACTGTGAAAAGACCCCTGGTTGCATGTCT